TGCAATATTGAATGATCCATAAATTTGTTCATACATCTATCCATTCATTTATTCATTTGTTTGTTCATTCATTCGTTCGTTCATTCATTCATTTGACCAACCTGCTTAAACAACTTAACTCCCATAGTAAACATGTTATTGCAATGGATGGATATTTCTTCAATCAATCTCTGTTCATCCATTTCAAACATCATTACTACTACCCCGTCGTCATTATTATTATTGTTATTATTATTATTGTTTTTATAATTATCATTGTTGTTGTTGTTGTTATTGTTGTTATTGTTGTCATCATCGTAATCATCATCATCATCATTCTCATCGTAATGTTTGCCATGTTGGCGATGGCTTATGATTAAATTTTTACTGGCAAAAATTATATTATCATCTACGTTGCTGTTACCATCATCATCATTATCATTACTATATACATCATCATCATCACTACTACTGCTACTACTATTGATGTTATCATCTTTGTTTATTATCTTCTTCCTTATTTTCCTTTTTCTTCTCCAACCTACCCATCCCTGATTCGGCCGGAAGTAGTCGCTCTGTCCGATTTGGCCATCAATCAAGAGTTGCCCGTTGTTTTTGCTGTTGCTGTTGTTGCAACCAAAACCGGAAGTGCTACTGCAACCGGAAACGATGCAACCGGAAGTGTTACTGTCAGCTGATTTGCTGCTCCTCTCTGATTGGTCGATGAAAGGCGGGGTGGGTTGAGGTATTTTGTACTTTATTACTGGTCCTGATGATTATGATGATGATGACGACGACGATGATGATGATGACGGCGATAATAAAAGCTTCAAACCTTCAATATCGCATCCGTATAATTCAACCCTTAGGCAAACGGACGAATGTGATTGGCTGACGATCGGAATGATCCTCAACACTCGAGCTCTGATTGGCGGATCTAATTCTCTTAACTCCGAGGTATGAGTGTTCTGATTGGNTGGAATTATCTTCATGAATATTAATAAGGTCATATGTAATAAGTGATTATCAGTGCTATAGCTATAATTATAAC